AGGGAGGTAGCAGGGAGGCAGGGAGGGAGGGAGGGAGGGAGGGAGGAAGGGAGCCAGGGATGCAGGGAGGGAGGGTAGTCGGGGCGGGAGGGAGGGATGGAGGAAGGGAGGTCAAACAGCAGACAGCATCCCGGGCACATTCCCGGGAGTATGGACAAGGACAGATGGGCCCGGTCAGCATCCCTGATCTGATAGGGCTCAAGCCGAAAACCCCAGAAAGGGCAAGAAGCCTGGGCCCTCCAGAGAGGAGCAAAGAGAAGCCAGGGCTATTCTGTGACGCAATGGCCACCCAGTGCCGCCCGTTCTGAAAAACTGCTCGCTGACACCCGGATGTCACGGTCGTACCCAAAACCGCCTTGGGTGACATGACCGAGGCTTGCCAGTCTGGCACCCAACACTCCCGCTGATGACATGGACCCAAGAAACCACCAAGAGACTTCTCACACATGTTCTACACCACCGAGACACCGGACACTGAGGGATCCTGCCCTGTGGCTTGTCCTCCACTGAAATCCAAGGGCCCCCGCCCTGCCCTGTGGTGCCCCAAGGCTCAATCCTGCCCAGACAGGGAGATGTCCCGACCTCGAAGGAGGAACCGGTAGCCTGACAAAGGCGGGAAACAGCGGGTACTCTGCCCCCATCACCCAATGCTGGGCCGGCTGGTTCTTTCCATCTTAACATGGTCCTGGGGATGGAATTCAGGTTGTGAGGCTTGGTGGCAAGCACCATACACCTGCTGAGCCAGCTCCTTGGCCCAGGGCCCTCCTTTCCTGCTGGCTTCTTCTGTCTACATGCCCATAACTTCCTCACCATTCGTGTGAAGGGATTTCAAATTTCTATGCAGATTCCTGGTTTGAACTTCTGATACAGATACTCAGCTGCCACCGGACTGAAATACTGTCAGGACTGATATTCTGTCTACTCAATACTGGGTGGTAGAGCACATACAACGTTTAAGATGAAAGAATACAATCCAATTGATTTATGATTAAATATTACTTCTGTGGTAACCACACAAAAATAACAAGGAATGCTGGGCATGGTGGCGCGGGCCTTTAATCCCAGCACTTGTGAGGCAGCAGGCAGATCTCTGTGAGTCTGAGGCCATCCGGGGCTACTGGGAGACCCTGTCTCAAAAAGACAAAAAAAAAACCCTAAGGAACAATTAAAATCGTTCATTTGCAAGGGTAAAGAAACCTTGACATTCATGACTAGACCTAGAAAGACTTATGGCAGGCAGGCGCTGTGATGCATGACCATAATCACGTACTTGGGAGGCAGAGGCAAAAGGGTCAGGGATTCACCCAGTTACACCAGCAAGTTTGAGGTCAGCCTGGGCTACACGAGATCCTGTCTTAACGCCCCCCACCCCAACAAAACACATTTACAAAAATGAAGCAAACCAAAAAACCCCCAAACACACAAACCGACCAGGTCCAGTGTGGGGTTAGGGTGGTAGAGCACACTGGCTGCTCCTGCAGAGGACACAAAGTTAGGTTCCCAGAACCTGCATGGAGGCTTATAACTGCCTGTAACTTTGGGTCCAAGGAATCTGCTGCCTTCTTCTGATCTCTGCCAGCACCAGATATGCATGTAGTGCACATACATGTATATAGGCAAACACTCATAAACACAAGTCTTAAAGATGACACACATCTTTAATTCTAGCACTCAGGAGGAAGAGGGAGGTGGATCTGTGAGTTTCAAGCTAGCCTAGTCTAAATTGTGATCTCTAGGCCACCCAGAGCTGCAGAGTGAAAAAGAAATAGTTGTGTCATACAAATGTATTGGCACAAAGATAAAACACATACAACTATGTTTGAGATTCTAGGCAAAGGACTCAAGAGAATTTTCAGTTGTGCGTGTGTGTGTGTGTGTGTGTGTGTGTGTGTGTGTGTGTGTTCATGTGTGTAATCCCAGCACTTGGGAGGCTAAAGCAGGAAGATTAGGAGTTGGAGGTCAGCCTGGGCTAACAGTGAGCTACCGTATCAAAAAAGACACGATGATAACTGCTTCCATTGCAGGTGCACCTGGAGACCACACGTGCGCAATGTGACCAGGGCGCCGTTCTGGTTGAAAGCTTGACTCTACTGTCATTCAAGTTTATTAGGAACCAGTTGCAACCGAGCAGTCTTCCCCCATGTTAGGTTCTTTGTTTTACTCAATGTTCTAAGGTATACGGTACACAAGGCAACACAAACTCACTGACAGTCATACTATCTGAGACGGCTGCTAAGCATGCTGGGTATCTCTATGCTGGCCCTGGTGTATGCGAGGCAGGAAAAGCAGAAGCGCTGAGAGGGTGCTCACCTTGATTGAATTGGAGTCCCGGATGAGCTTGTTGATGTCGAAGGCCTCTCCACTGAGCTTCCAGGGGTTGTGCTGTAAGACGATGGCCTCCCCGCCACAGCTGTACAAGGTGAGGGATGGCCTGTCTCCTTCAGCTCCTGTGGAAGACAGAAGCTTAACTGTTTCCTTTCCTCTGAGGCAGGAGGCAGTGGTATTCTGAGACAATTTATTTACTGTAAACACTTCTGACATTCAGAACAGTGGTGACACCAAAGATGGAACCACAGATGGTCCAACCAAAGCTTCGGAGAATCCCTTTGTTGTTCCAGAAACAAGCACCCTACTCCTGGCGCGTTTGCATACACAGAGCTCAGGACTTTCAGGACTTGTCACTGAGAGGTTGTCAGAGCAGTGACAATGGCACATCCGGCCTCTTGTTGAGTAAACAGACAGCATTCCAACACAGTCCTGTGTGTGTAAGGCAAGTGCTGCCGAAATCTACAGATGCTTCCTTACAGTTCCGTAGAAAGCAAAGACTTTTGTTGAAAACTCATTCTAAGACAGTTGTAGCTGACCCTTAAGGACAACAGTGCTTGGCTCGCTAGGGGTTAACAGACTTCTTCCAGCTCTGCTGATGCAGAGGCTTGAGGGAGGGAGCGTCTGCTCCCAGAATGCTGGGAAGACTGATAAAGCACCTGGCTTCTGGACCGCTGGGAACAACAGGCCGCCACCTCCCTCACCCTGTTTGTGCAGGCATCAAAGGAGGTCTGTTCCCAGGCTGGTCGCCACAGCCTTGGACACACTGTGCTGTTTTCTTACTACAGCAGTGAGACAATTCTTTGTTTTGTGCTGCTTGAACATGAATAATATGTAAACTCTGTGTGAACTGAAAACTCTAAGCTTCCTAATAAAAGCTCTGAAGAGGCAAAGCTGGGGACCCCTGCTCTGAACTTCAGTTCCGAAGCACCGGGTCACAGGAGGGCAGCCGTGGATGGCAAGACAGGCCTCCCACTTTAAAGAAGGCAAGAGCAGCTGGGATAGGAGGTGGGGGTGGCCAGCGAGCAAAGCCTCGGGACCTAGGAGTCACAGAACCTGCCTCAGGTTAACTGTGCACAGGGAAAACACAGCTCAAAGAGAAGAGCTACGCTGCAGAGTGAGGGCGCAGCTCAAGCTTTCCTTCAGCTGCTCCGTGACCACCCGGCCCTGCTGCCTCCATGGGATCCTGAGGACATGGTACAACACACAAGCAGTCAGCACCAGGACATTTATGACCCCTAGGACTAGAGGGAAGAATGCATTCATGGGAGTCAGAGTGGCTCAGACACTCACCAAGTGACATGGGAGTCACCGGGGACCCCCAGGCCAACGTGTACACAGTCTTCTTATGATACGTGCTAGAAATCTGTGGAGGTCTGTGGATGGGGAAAACCAGAAGATTGAAACTCAGAGGTGCATTGAAAGCAGACCATCTCTCTCTAGAAGGGCCTTCCTATATAATTAATACTGTAGTTGTTGATATTAAAGAAAAAACAATTTACACTTTCTCCAAATAGTTTACTGTTAAATAGCAACATCCAGTACTAAAACAAGCCCTGAACACACTGTGCCCATCCATCTGACCAGTTTGGGATCATTCTTCTCATCTGTCCCTCCAGAAGGCAAAGCTAGGCATGGTAGTATACACCTTTACTCCCGGCACTTAAGAGGCAGAGGCAGCCACTCAGGGCTACACAGTAAGACCCCATCTTAAAAAATAAAAGGGGCGGGAGAGATGGCTCAGCGGTTAAGAGCACTGACTGCTCTTGCAGAGGACCCGGGTTCGATTCCCAGCACCCACATGCCAGCACCCACATGGCCGCTAACAACAGTCTGTAACTCTAGCTCCAGGGGATTCAATGCCCTCTTCTGTCCTCCACGGGCATTGCATGACACGGGTACACTTACATACATGCAGGCATGGGGCTGGAGAGATAGCTCAGCGGTTAAGAGCACTGACTGCTCTTGCAGAGGACCTGGGTTCGATTCCCAGCACCCACGTGGTGGCTATGAACCATCCTTAAGCCCAGTTCCAGAGGACTCCAAAGCCCTCTTCTGACCTCCGCGGCACTGCACGACACGGGTGCACTCACATACATGCAGGCAATACACTCATACACATAAAATTAAAATAACAAATTAAATTTTAAAAATAAAATAAAAAATAAGGGAGCCGGGTGTGGTGGCACACGCCTGTGATCCCAACACTCGGGAGGCAGAGGTACGCAAATCTCTGTGAGTTCCAGGCCAGCTGGGGTTATAAGGAGACCATCTCAAAAAGACCAAAATAGGGGCTGGCGTGATGGCTCAGCGGTTAAGACCACCGACTGCTCTTGCAGAGGACCTGGGTTCGATTCCCAGCACTGACATGGCGACTACAAACCGTCCTTAACTCCAGTTCCAAGGGAATCCGACACCCTCTTCTGACCTCCGCTGGCACTGCACACCAAAGGTGCACTCACACACATGCAGGCAATACACTCATACACATAAAATCAAAATAATAAATAAAATATATATTTTCTTAAAAAGGCCAAAATTAGCCAGGCATGGTGGCGCACGCCTTTAATCCCAGCACTCGGGAGGCAGAGGCAGGTGGATCTCTGTGAGTTCAAGGCCAGCCTGGTCTACGAGGTGAGTTCCAGGACAGCTGGGGCTACAGGGAGACCCTGTCTCAAAAAGACCAAAACCAAAACAAAGCCATCAAAATGCCCCCAAGCTGCTGATGTTTAGGTGAGGTGTAAAACATGGCAAAAGATCCCAGTGCATTTAGAACTTAGAAAATGAGACTTTTCTTCCAAGCTTTATCACAAATACCTTTAAAAACTTTTTGCTTTCCAAGAGAATTGGAAAACATAAACGAGCAATGTCAAAAAAGAATTTGTATGATAGAAAGAACTGTCCTTACCACTGTAACCTTGGACTTAACACCCTGCCGCAAGTGCCTCACATCGTAGCTGTTCTTGATGGATCATGCCGTTCCCTATGCCTATAGCCAGGCAGCCTGCGTCCACGGGGGAGAAGGCCAGGCTGTAAGGAAAGCCTCCAAGGGAGGGCAACGTCCAGCAGCATTCCAGGGTGCCCATGTCCCAACATTTTACCTGAAAATGTAAAAATTAGGGCTAGATAGAGGAAAAAAAGCAGAAAAACAGGTAAAGAACTAAGCACTACAAATGGAACAGGCTCAAAGAATGGGTAAAGATAACACAATTCAGCTCGTCCAGGGGGAACTGGAAGCTTCTCTTAGGGGGAAAAAAAAATCAGCAATACATTATAGAGCTCGAAAAGGATCCAGGAGTGTGAACTCAGCATCCTATAGTCAGGAAGTGAGAACCCGGGCTTCCCCTCCACCGTTCAGCAGTCTCTCCAGCCTCCTACCACACTGCTAAGCTCCCAGTTCACAGTTCTAAGCAGACTGAGCAAGGCCTCAGCACAGGGAAACAGCTGCAGCCCAGCAGGGACAGGTACTTCACACCCACAGGCATGGGGCAGAACAGTCTACCAAACCAGGCTTGGGGACGTGGCTTGGTCGGTACAGTACTTGGTACGAAGCCCTGGGCTCCATCCTCAGTACCACATAAACCAGGTGTGGCAAACACCTGCAACCTCAGCACTCGGGAGGCAAAGATAAAAGCTAAGTTCATTCTCTGCCACACATTCTCTGTAGCCTGGGCTACAGACCCAGTCTCCAAAAACAGTCTGTTCCAAAACAGACTGGTCATAGACTTAAATACAGCTCTGTTAGAAAGATTTAGCAGAGCGTAGCCATGTGCTATTAACTTGGGATCAGGAGGGCACTCTGGAGAGGTGAGTGCAGCCTTGCCTGGATGCCTACTCTTCGTGTCTGCTCTAGGCTGGGCGGCCCGCAGCTCCTAACACTGCTGCTGACCTGCCTGGTACAGCCTGATGCTGGGGGCTCTGCACCGGGAGGCAGGGATGGTGGTGAGGACCACACCTT